ATTTTTCCTCTGGTGCTGTTTTCCAGGCGTTGTTTGAGGCGGGGGAGAAGAAATGGGGCACGGATGAGTCTCGGTTCCACACCATCCTGGTGTCTCGCAGTTACGCCCAGCTCCGCGCCACCTTCCAGGAGTACGCCAAGGCCGCTAACAAAGACATCGAGGACTCCATCAAGTCAGAGATGAGCGGGGATATAAAGGACGGGATGTTGGCTGTCGGTATGAGAAAACACCGTTATCCTCCTTATTTCTCCTCCTTTTCTACCTGTCCAGCTTCTGTCGTCCTTTTCTCTCCTCTTCCTTTCTTATCAAATTATAGAGAGCTATGTCTTCCTTGTCTCTCCTCCTCCTTTCTTATCTAACATCTATCCTCCTTGTCTCTCCTCCTTTTCTACCAGTCCAACTTCTGTCATCCGTATCTCTCCTCCTCCTTTCTTATCAAAGATCTATCCTTCTTATCTCTCTTCCTCCTTTCTTATCAAACATGTATCCTCCTTACCCCTCCTTCGTTTCTTCCTGTCCAACTTCTCTCATCCTTTTGTCTCTTCCTCTTTCCTTATCAAACTTCTATCCTCCTTATCTCTCCTCCTACTTTCTTATCCAACATCTATCATCCTTATCTCTCCTCCTTTCCTATCAAACATCCGTTGTCCTTATCTGTCCTCTTTTCCTATCAGACATCTATCGTCCTTCTTTCCTATCAAACATCTATCATCCTTATCTCTCCTCTTTCTTTCCTATCAAACATCTATCGTCATTATCTCTTCTCATTCTTTCCTACTAACCATCAATCTCTCTTCTGTTTTGTAAGTGACTGTCTAGCAACACCTCTAATCTTCAACACTTATTTGACCTAAATTAAGTGTGTTGCAAACGAACAAACTTCTTTTCTTTGTACGCTGCTGTCTACTAGTAGCACCACCATAGTGTGCTCAAAGTTTCGTTGCACAACTTTTTGTAAAATATCTCCTCAACTCTCGAAAATAGACTCTCCAACCTTTGCACAGTGATTGTATCAATTGTCCGTCTTAAAAGATAAATATTTTTTAGAAGTACTTGTTAGCTGTTTTCTAAAAAACTCCTTAATAAATACTAATAAAACATTCCTGTGGGTGGTTTCTAGTACAGCTTTTAAAAGGTTTACAGCTGGGACAATATCACTTTTAAAAGCAAGTCTGTCTTTTTTTTTCTAATTGCAAGATTATGTTTATTGAACGTATGTTTTGAGAACTTTCAGTGCAAAAAAAGTTTCTGGAAACTAGTCTTGCCATTAAAAAGTGTCATTGGCGAGCTGTGACGTAGGCCATACACGTACGCAAAATGTGTTTGAGAAGCAGGAAGTGCTGTGGACAATTCCATTTTCTGCGTGAAGGAGATAAGTAGTATTTTATATAAATCTATGAAGAAAAGTTTTTTTAAAGTTAGCCTCAATTGTTGTGGAAAAATAGGATTAAGTTAAGACAAATTGATACAACCTGCTGTGCAAAGGAGGGGTGACATTGATTCACCAGTTAAAAAGATGTTTGAGGATAAGTTGCACCACAAATTTTTGACCGCACTATAATCTTCGGATTTTATATGACCTTAACTGGAAAAAGAAAAAGAGGAAGACCAACTGGAAGCTATAGTGGCACAATAAGGGGTGAGGCAATCACCCTGGGTCTGGATTTGCCGACATTGGAGGAAGTGGCCAGGGACAGATAAACATGACGTCGACTGCTCTCCGCCTTATGTACCTGACTGTATAAGTGAAATGGTGAAATGGTATAGGTTTAACACCCCTATCAACACTATTAGGTTATTTAAGGGGGGGGGGGGAACCTCCTAGTTTAACGTCCATTTCCGATAGGACCGAACCAAGTGGGAAGTTCGTGTAAAGTGCCTTTCCCAAGAACACAACGTCGGACCGATCTGAGGCTCGAACCCCCGAAACTGCAATCTCATGATTACGAGTCCGGTAGCCTAATGACTGTATAGGGAGAGAGTAAGTAAGTAAGTCAACATAGCTCTGCACCTTAGGTAGGCCTACCTGACAGTATAGGGAGAGAGTACGTAAGTTAGTAAGCTATTGTGTTGCAAGAGCCAAAAAAAAACCCAGCAACCTCTTCCTAAAACGGAACTAAACATGTTCGTTTCCATTATGTGCCAACTTGTTTGTCTTTTCGGTGAACAGTGTTTGACTCATGATAAGAGATATATGCACAACCTGTACTTATTCATTATGGATACTTTACTTATCAAATGAGTGTTTTATGTGATGTGATGTGGGCCAATGGCCTTAAACACTGAAGAAACTTCCTTCCTTCCTTCCTTCCTTCCTTCCTTCCTTCCTTCCTTCCTTCCTTCCTTCCTTCCTTCCTTCCTTCCTTCCTTCCTTCCTTCCTTCCTT